TCTTGTTAGTACTTAGCATCGTATGGAAGTGTTTATGCTTATTTACTTTAGCATGGACTAAAACTGTTGACTCTCACATTCTTAACATCGCCATAATGCCTGATGCATAGTGGACATTCACTATGGGTATATAGACCCTTTCCATACATGATTGTCAAGAGGAAATATTGTAAAGGGGAAAAAATGGGAAGTATACTATTATAGATACAGAGAATTTTTTTATTTTATTAATTATTTTTATTAACATATAATGTATTATTTGCCCCAGGGGTATAGGTCTGTGGGAGAAGATATTTTTAAACAGGAAAATTTGGTCTATAGTATTTTCTTAAGGCCATTTAAGAATCAGACCTAAAGTCAAGAGGAGATCTGGAAAAGTTGTAGGTTACAGTTCTCTTTGAGAGGCTTTGTCAATCTTGTGGGTTTTTTTCTATATAATTTAACAAGGACTGGGATCATATAATCCTATTGGTCTGTATAGGACTTTGAAATGGAAAGAGAAGAAATGGAGCTAAGATACCAAATCTTTACTTACTGCTTTCTGGAAGACAGTACAGTGAAACAGTTACATTAAAAAAAAAAAAGTTTTGGGAGTTAGCTTTCAGTAGTTGTGTGACTTTATCCAAATTATTTAACATCTTCCACCCTGAAAGTGTTCTCATTTATCAAGTGGGGATGATAATAGTACCTATCTCATTAGTCATGTGGTAAAGAATAAATGAAAAAAAATGTATATTTAGCAGTGTCTGGAATATTTTAAAACTCAATAAATGTTGTTAGCCAGTGTTATTATATTTTTAATTTAAACCTTACTTATGAGTTAATCTAGCTCTTCCCCAGGTGACAGTTCCAGCCTCAGCTAAGGCCCAACCTATGTCAACACTCTCATTATCAAATTACAGCCCTCTCAAGCATCAGAATCACACTGGGAAATTATCTAAAATGCACATTCCTGGGATGCATCCCCAGGGATTCTTTCATAAATCTTGGCTAAGACCTAAGAATACATGCTCATAATAAACACTCCAGTCTATTATTGATAAAGAAGGGGATTCCACAACCTCATTTAGGAATACGTTGGCATGAAAGAGACCTACTTCCTCATTGTAGATGGCTGATGTGCAGTTCAGAATACCTATCTTTTTGCTGATTGGAATTGAGGACAAACAAACTGGGAGATTTGTTCAAGGGAATCTTCAAAGAAATGTGTCAAAATAGGGCTCATTCAAGAAGACAATAGGATAAGGAGACCCACTGTGGAAAGTCACTGAGCTTCAGGGTATTAGAGCTTTGTCAGAATAATCTCTGTCTCTCTCTTTCTCTTTCAGTGCCTTCACCACTCCCTCCCTCTTCCTCCCCCTCTCTCCCTTTTACAATTTCCCACTCTTCTGGGTCATTCATTGGTCCTTTTATTCATAATTGTGTGGGAGGGAAATCCATCACCAAACATAAAGAAAAATCTATCCAGGAATATTTGAAAGATAACTAAAGGGATCCTTTGTTTACCTGAGGCCAAATATGCTACATAGGGTTCATAATCCTGGGGGGGAACAACAGTTACACAAATCATGAATATGCTTCATGGCAAACTAATCTTGATAACGTGTAAGATGTCTATTCAATTGTCCTCTGAATGCAGTCTGTATGTTTCCAGTTCTTTCTCTGCACTGTTGGTAAGTAGAGCCAAATATGTGACAATGGGGAGAAATTTTCATACTGATATACCAAATATCCATTTGCCTTTTTAATCTAAAACACAACATTCCTTACAAAAAAGCTACTTAAATCATGCCTTTTGTTATGTGATTCAGTGCATTCTGTCCTCAAGGTCATTTTCTTCTATTTATCTACAGACATAGTTAATGGAGTCATTTTGGTTGAATGTCATTTTTTTTTTCTGGATTGACTTTATTAAAAAAAAAAAATCAGATGTTGCAAGCATTTCTCCACGCATGCATCAAGATGTCAAAATACTACACCTTTCATTTGAAACTGGAATAATATGGGAAGTTCTTTGTTCCCCAGCTCTTGAAGAAAGGAGATATACATGTTGATACTGCCTTAGTCATCATGTTGTGAGGTCTATTATCCCAAAGGTGTCTGTGGGTGACACAAGCAGCCCATCAAAGTCTAACCTTTCCCTTTCGATATGAATTTCTGCCACCACTTTTGAGGATGAGAGTAATGAATGCTTTCATTTTAAGTGCAAGAGAATATGCAGCGTCGGTAGAGATCAGTTTCTTTGTTCTATTTACATCAAATCTTCTCTCAATTGTTGCCATTTAGTTGCCAGCATAATTGCAGATGATACCCTGTGTCCGGATGCCAGGGAGTCAGAGACGTTGTAGCAGAAGCAATTGCTAGCTAGCCTTACTTACCTCGTTCGGAAGTCAACAATAAATTGAGAAGAGGGCACTCAGGTGAAAGCACTTCAGAAAAGGTGTGCTCTGAGGGGTATCGCCTTTATTGCCCACGGCAGCGACTGCAGGACTCAAGTCCCTCAACTATTTATCCACAAATTATCCTCCTAACTTCTTCATGGCTGACATTCCCCACAGATCCGATGACTCACAGCAAATCCTCCCAACCTGCCTAGAAGGTACAGAGTCACCGGCTCTGTTGCAGGTTAGCTCACCAAGGCTAGAATAGTGTTAACTGTTTATTTGATTACTATTCATTTGTTTCATCATGTTCCAGGTTTTAAGTGAAGCACTGAAGACACAGGGATGAATAAGACATCTGTGATCACTACTGTGTGAACTTCAGTCTAGTAGAAATGAGACCCAATTAATCAATTAATTATAAGAAAGTCTGACAAATACTACAAAGTTAAGTACGTAAAGAGGAGTTTAGAAACGTTAAAAGGGCAATCTTCTTTATCGTGTGGATTAGTACAGGCACTCTGAATGCCGTGATGTTAAGGTCGAAGCTGACTTGAGGCACTGGGCAAAGAAAGAGGATTTAAAACTCCAGGAAGAGAAAAACGCATGTTCAAAGGCCCTGGGGTGAGAAAGTATAACACATTTGAGTCTCTGAACAGTGTGGTGCAGGTAGAGCGGCTGACGTAACCATGTATGGTGCTTCAGAAAGGTGAGAGCTAAATCATGGAGAGACGACTCAAGAAGTTGTGGTTAATTACCAAGAGCAATCTATAGAAGGCTTTTTAGCAGGAAAACTGAAATCATCATTGTCCCTGCCGTTAAAAGGTATGCTCTAAAAAGAACCTAGAATAGGACTAGGAAGAAAACAGGATGAATGAGCAGAGAAGGAAAGCATGCTTCTGATGTGAAGCTTAGCAATTGAAAGTACGTTAGATTATTTCATTTCCCAGGATGATGACAGGACAAGACTCAGCCTGGGGTGGGAGACACTGAGGCAGGAACTAAATGCTTAATGGATGAGGGAGCCAATGATAACAATGTGGGGTAGCCCTAGAAGCTAGAACAGGCCCTGATGCAAAGAAATAGGACTTTTTAAAAGAACAGGCCCTGATGCAAAGGAATAGGACTTTTTAAAAGAAGCTAGAGGAGCAGTGGTTTAGAAGACATGATAATGACCCAAGATCCGACAGACCACACTTCTGATCTTGAAATAAGAATTAGGTGGGAGAATGAGTGCCTCCACTTAATAAGACTGCAGGAAAATACAGCGACATCAAAGGAGAGTCGAGCTTCTTTCGAAACCAGAATTTCTTGAAAGATTTTTAACTAGTTTGAAAACACTAGCAACTTTTCCAGTTCATCACAAATGGCTTCTGAGACTTTCTCAGTGCCCTGCTCATAGGGCTGCCTTATTTCATCTGATCTCCAACTCAGCCGGGCGGGGGAGCAGAGCCTGTCCTTTGCCAAGTTGTAGGTATAGAACGCTTGGTTGTTTCTGCCAAGGAAGGTCACTCTGTAGGTCTTCTGGATTCTGTGAAGCCCAGAACTGCTCAAGGAAGGCTCACTCTTGGTTTTCCCTGCCAGGCGCTTCCCTGGGTATTCTTGTCTTACTATAATCACATCACCTACTGAAGTCATTTGTTGTTGTTGTTGTTGTTGTTTGGCTTGGTTTATTCAACTGCTTTTAAACTTTAAGCATCTCAAAGGCAGTGATTGTGAATTATTTATATTTTTGTCTTTAGTGTTTAGCAAGCAGAGTTTCTTAATTAACTAATTAATTAATTCATTAAACCTGTCCAGGTGAGGCATCTTGCTTTTTCATAGAAGGAGCTTATATTCCCCTTTTCAGCAAAACTAATGATTCCCCATACTTCTGGCTAATATAAAATGTTTTGCTACTGAGTTTCTTTAGGATATTAGCTTTTAAAGGGAAGGAATTAATATCTCTCAATAGATTTTCTGCTAAGATGAAGGGAGACACAGATTTGAGCTCATATGCCAACTCTAATCAACTGGATGTCATTCCCTACAGTACTGCTTTGAGAAGGATTTTGAGACTTTTTTCCAGGCACTGCAGGAAAGACTATCATAAGTATCATAACTGATTTGGAATCCATGTCTTTGCTTCAAGATTTGGGAATGATGGCACTTTTCCCACGTATTTCCCCACCCTAATCTAGAACTGTTTAATAGATGTTAAAGTAACAATTCTAGTGCCCTCAGGAGAGATACTAGGCTGTGTTACAATTGTAAATGCTATGCTACCTTCCAACTCTCACTAATCTTTCCTTCATGGAAATTTATGAAATCATATGGTCTCAATTATACAATCTGAGTTATCAATTATTATTTATGGCTCTGAGTTTATCTTCTTTTCCTAACAAGATGGTGGTCAATATGAAAGCAAGACTCTTCTTCCCCTGAATATTAACTTTGACTTTGGCTAAAGAAATTGTATCAGCCAGCTATTGCTGCATAAAAAACCATCCCCGCTTTTCTACCTACTCACTACCACCCCACCACACCACCACCCCCAAGTGCTCAGGCTGCACCACACTCGCTCAGAGCTCCCGGGTCCTGCTAAGGTAGTGCCACCATCGTCTCTCTCCATCCGCCATCATGATCATCTACTGGGACCTCATCAGCCATAATGAGATGTCCTCTGACATCTACAAGATCTGGGAGATCGCAGGTGGGCTGTGCCAGGAGGTGGAGGTGAAGGTGGTCAGCAGGACAGAGGGTAACACTGATGACTTGCTCATTGGTGGAAATGCCTCCACTGATAGCTGGAAGGCAAAGATACAGAAATCACAGTCATCCCTGGTGTGTTATTGTCATGAACCATCACTTGCAGGAAACCAGCTTCACAAAGGAAGCCTGTAAGAAGTACATTAAAGATTATATTAAATCAATCAAAGGCAAACTTGAGGAACAGAGCCCAGAAAGAGTAAACCCTTTTATGACAGGAGCTGCAGAACACATCAAGCACATCTTTGCTAATTTCAAAAACTACAAATTCTTTATTGGTAAAAACATGAATCCAGATGGCCTGGCTGCTCTGCTGGACTACTGTGAGGGTGGTATGACCCCATATAGGATTCTTGTTAAGGATGGTTTAGAAATGGAGAAATGTTAATGAACTTGGCTATGACTCTAGATGTATCACCTGTTGCCATAACTGGCTCTGCTCTTCATCTGCACAGCACCAGGACTTAGACAAATGGGACTGATGTCATCTTGAGCTCTTCGTTTATTTTGACCCTGATTTATTTGGAGCAGAGGCATTGTTTCTAAGAAAAAACATGTCATGTAGGCTGTCTAAAATTAAAATGCATTTAAGCTAAAATAAATAAATAAGCCCCCCGCCCCACTCTCCCCCCCCAAAAAAACAACCTGCAAAATTCAATGGCCTACAACAAACAATAAACATGTATCATTATGCTCACATTTCTTTGGATACACTACAGTGGCTCTGCCTCAAGCTTTAGGTTCTGCAGGTTGGCTGAGTTGACTCATTGCTGAGGTTTCAAGGGATAGTCAACTAGGGTAGCCCTGATCAACATATCCCCCACTTTTGGAAACAAGTAGATTGCCAAAATCGCATTGCTTCGTACCAATGGCAGAAGCACAAGGGAGCTGTCTCTAATGCATGATATTGCATGTCTTTGCTAGAATCCTACCTTAAACACTTTTTGGCCAAGTCAAGTACATGGCCAAGCTCAACATCAGTGTAGTAGAAAAGTCTACTTCATCCACCGGGAGGGGGAAGGGAAGGACGATTTGCTGAATTCCAACCCCAACAGAGTTTCTTTTCCTCAAAGTAAAAGTGGTGAAAATGGCACCTGGGTGGTTCACTTGATTAAGCGTATGGCTCTTAATTTCAGCTCCGGTCATGATCTTAGGGTCCTGGGATCAAGCCCTGCTCCAGGCTCTCTGCTCAGTGGGGAGTCTGCTTGTCTTCCTCTCCCTCTGCCCCGCCCCCCATTCTCTCTCTCTCTCTCTCTCTCAAATAAATAAATCTTTAAAAAATAATAAAAATAAAATAAAAGTGGTGATAACCTGCAGGGCTCTGAAATTGCATTATGACAACTGAGAAGAAATTGCCTGGCATACACTGGCATTCAGTAAATATTTGTTGAACTATTGAATTTCTTTTTCTACCCTAAAAGTATATACAATGTGTGATACCCGAGAGGGTTTTAGAGATTCACTGGACTTTGATCAAGGTGGGATTTCCAGATTCTATCTCTATTTCATTCTGTGACCTTAGGCAAATTCAGAAATGTTTCTCTTTATTATATTTTGCAGGTAAATCACAGATCTCGGGTGCACTGTTTTTAGAGAATATTTTGGGACTCTGAGGTACATATTATGTAAGCTGTTCCAAATATTCAAAAATGTAACTTCTAATCAGACCTCAGCAATAATGGCATGAAAAATGTCACCTGTTCAATGACTAATTTTTTGATTTTAGGTAAGAAGTGCTTTCCACTTAAGGAGTAAAATTAACCTTCCAGCCTTTTAGGCATCAGTTGTTGTAATACATAAGTCCCCAAATTGAGAATCTTTGGCTTTGAAGCTTTATTTTTTGGAAACTTTATAAATATAAATAAGTTCTCATGAAGTATTAATGCATCCTCTCCAGGCCACAGGGAAAGAAAAAAAGAAGTCATAACGAATAAACAAACTCACAAAACTCACAATATCTTTAAATATATAATGAAAGAACACATTTAAAAGGCAATAATCAGAAAACTGAGTCACCAGTAATACACCATTTAATATTTTTCTCAAAAAGTTGGGGGAAAAAATGTATGCTTTACCTAACATCATACTCACACAGGATAAAAGGCAATCTGATAGTGATCAGTGTCTCCGGGGTAAACTTGACTTTCTCCCATGGAGTTTGCATTCCTTATGGCCATTAACAATGTAAAGGGAAGTTCTGGGAGGCTATGGATTTCACTCTGTGGAATGATTATTGTTTAGAACAAGGACGGTGTCAATATTTAACATTACATTTCCTAAAATACCTGGCATAGGTTTATAAACGAGGTTAAAATATTAATAAATATTTATTCACCAATTCAATTGTATTTTTCACATATGTTGGTGTCTATCTATAAATTTGGGGCCAGAGAAAATAAGAGTTAATGCTGATACTGCACTTGGGCATCAACCTGCTAAATGTGTTACTTAATATTTTGTAGCAACTTTAAGATGTAGATACTCTTATTAATCCCCATTCTACAGATGAAAACATGGAGACATGCAGAAGGGAAGTAGTTTACTGAAATCCACAAAGCTAGCAAGTGGGATCGAAACTCGAGCTTTCTGGGTCTGTCTGTGCTTCTCACCATGATGTGACCAAGCTATCTTGGAGGGGGCTTGCTCCTTCAGGAAGGCCACATGGCACAGTGAATGTGCTTCAGACTGTTACATGACATGTTTTTTTAAAACAATGCAAATCAGGAAGCATTAAGATCTACCAGGGATCTTAAAACTTAGAACAAACAGGCCTCAATTAAAAGCCCATTTCTCCTCTTTATTAGCTCTGCAACCTTGGGCAATTTTCTTATATCCCTAGACCTTAGTTTTTGTTTTTTTTTCTGTGTCAATGGAGAGTATATTTACTTAAAAGGGTTATTAATGAGATAAGAAAGTATGCTTAGCAGAGTATTGGCATATAATAAACAGGAATTATTAATACTATTTAGTTCAAGCACCCAGGGAAATTAAATGGCTCGCCCAAGGTCATCCGTCTGGTTATAGAAAAGTGAGGTCTGAACTATGGATTTCTAGGTTCCAAGTCCAATACCTTACACTCTGTTAATGGCCACTCCTCAGGGATTTCTCACATGACTTGATAACGTGAGATAATCCAGAAAGGAAACGCATCGCCCACCAGTGTGTTTGCAAATCACGCAGGGTGGCTAGGTTTTGCAATGTGTGACACCACTCCAAGCAGCCTGCATGCTAGTGTCACACATTTTAGTCAACAGATCAGAAACCTAAGTAACAAGTATTCACAACAAAGTCAGATTTCTTCATGAGGCTTTTCCAATTAACATTTGAGGGCTCGATTAAGTTTATATCATCAATATCTATATTCCCATAGTAACTGCTTCTCCACTGCCAGCTCTACACCATAGCATTTGTCATCAATCACTTAAGAATTCCGTGCATCTATTATAGATTTCATACCTCAGTGTTCGTCTGCTAGTTTCTTGCTTAATATAATGTTATATCAAGAATTTTTTAAAATCTGCTCATTCCCAAACCATCAAATTATTTTACTCTCTCAACTCTTAAGGGAGAAGGTGTGCATGTAAGAGACATACTCTATTTGCCTGGTGTTTGGGAAATTTTAAAGCTATTCATAGACCTCATAGCATGTAAGCTATTTTGTACCCTTCTTATAGATTACATTAATAAAATTATTTATTTTGCATTTGATTTCGAGGAATTCAGTTAATGAAGCCATGCTCAAAGCCATGCTTTAAACGCCTCTGTGTTCTGCACAGCATTATTCCAGGAAGGCCCTAAACGTCGTTCTTTCAAGTCATATTTTTGACGACCCCCCAATGCTTTCTGCAAATATTTTCTCTATATACTCCGAGTCTGATTTGATTTAGCTCCACAGCTTTATAAATGTCCCTGAAACACATGGGGTATAACTATAATCGATGATTCAGCACATTTCCTTCACATAAAAATCAAATTTCCAGTGGCACCACTTACTCTTTATTGTACTGAGATCAATAGCTGCAGGAACCCTTCACCCAGGCATGTGCCCGTCTACCCAACATGTATTCATAATATCGGTCTATAAATTCAATAGAAATATTAGGTTACAGGGGCATTCATGCTCAGAATAGCAAGATTTCCTGAGTCTGGAGAGTGTGCTGCAGAGAAACTGCTCTTCTCACTACGAAACTGCTCAGAATCTTCCAGAATGGCAGGTGCACCACAAAACAGGACTCTGTAACTGTGTGTGGTGAGCAGATGGGCAGGGTGAATTTGGGGATATTTTTAGGACCTATAAAAACATTCCTTCCCATCTACTTAGTGGACTGTAAGGACTAGCATCCTTGGATACATCTATATTCCCTATTTGCTGAACTTTTTCAAATAATTTGTTGGGACCCCCTGGGGGTCAGAACAGGAGTTCTGAGCATGGTCTTAGGGGGCGTACCTCTTTCAGAGCTAATTACTCACCTGTTTTGCCATTCTTCTTGCTCATGTATTTCTTATATATTTATGTAACCATATAACTAATTACACCATGACTACATATGAAATTAATGTAACCACAAAATTGTTAATGTCCCACCTAACCTCAAAGAAACTATTCCACTGAACAAGAAGCTTCGACACAGACTTTCAAAATACACAAAGTTCGAAAGCTCTTTTGAAATTTTGGTTCTTAAAACAAGCCTGAAGCACTTTTAAATAGGTTTTCCTGATCTTAATGCTTTCTGGTTTGCATTGTTTTTAAAAAACATGTCTTTAAAAAACAAAACAAAAAAAACACGTCTTATAACTGGCAACATTTTCTAAGGCTTTGCTCAAAGAAGCTCATTGGTAACTGATCTAGATCGAACCTTTTACCTATCCTCCCCTCCCCCAAAAACACGCTTTGGATGGACTTTCACTGACTTTTGCCCCAATTAAGATTCCACCAAAAGACTTGCTCTTATGAGGTAGGAAAATCAGTTTGACGAGAGAGCGAGGTTTTGTTACCAAATATATCTGATGAGTCCTTATGATTTTTTATTTCAGGAACTAGGTTAAGAAGAGAAGGACAAAGAAAAAAGCTAAATTGCTATGCATAATAAAACACAGGCAACAGTGGCATTTCTGGGTGTGGCCTAAAAGGCAGGATGGGAGGTCCCAGGGATGAAATGAAGACAGGAAAATCCAGGCGTGGGACGAGAGAGGGTGGGGTGGGGTTTGTCCTACAATAGGAAGCAATGTCTGAAGTGATAAGGGCATCCAGGAGATGGTGGTGAGGATGCTGGGCATTTTAGTAGAAGCAGCATGCCAGTGTTTCAAGTGTTGACTCCACCATGACCTTATAGTCCCATTCCTTACTCCTGATCTTCATCAAAAAGACTGCCACACACAGCTGCCTATGTGAATGGCATTTTTAAAAAGTTAGCAGTATTTGGCGCCTGGTGGCTCAATTGATTAAGTGACTGCCTTCGGCTCAGGTCATGAGCCTGGAGTCCCAGAATCGAGTCCCGAATCAGGCTCCCTACTCGGCAGGGAGTCTGCTTCTCACTCTGACCCTTGACCTTCTCATGCTTTCTCTCTCTCTCTCTCTCTTTCTCTCAAATAAA